ATGTATGTATGGATTGTGATGAGTTGTATGAGCCCCTAATAAAACTATTAAAAGAAAAGAAGAAAAAGTAGTTGAGGAAAAGGAAACAAGTAATGAGGACTCTAGAAATATATCTGACCTGTTTTTACCTCAACGCCAAACCAAGCCCAATATTCTGATGCTGCTCTCTCGCTATGGTGACCACCTCTCCTAGTTGGCCAGGGTCCCTCCCAAATATAGCACTGAAAGTCCCACACCTGCAGGAACCCTTGAGTCCCAGGCAAACCTAAGGTCATCACTTATTCTTGCCCCCTTTTTATCCCCAAACAACTGTGACCACTCAACTTGCCATCTCAGGTGAAAGGGTAATTACTATTTCCCTGTAACACAATGCTAATGATTATACTTAGTGCGTTTTCATACTTTGATGTCTTTAATGGACTGAATTGAAATGTGGGAAGGAATACTAAAAGGCAAAAAACAAATACATTTTTTCCATGGGGGAAAAAAAAAGAAGTAGTTGAGGGGGGAAAAAAAGGAGCAGGAGAAAGAGGTGATATTCTGCTTCCATAAAGACTACAGTCGGTTTCTAAGTTCTACAACATTAACGAGTCAGACTGGAATGGATTCGATAGCAATGGGCTTTATTCTTAAGGAAGGTCTTGGATGTAAGATCAGTTAAGCATGAGAGGCTGGCAATTTTTATCCATCCATAGGTAGGAGACTCAGAAGAAAGGCTTGAAGCAGAACTCTACTGTGAAACACAACAGATCATCAGGAGTTGGAATCAACTGCAGGGCAACTGGTTTTCTTTCGTATTCAGGAAATCAGACTGGAACATGCAACTTACACCAGCTCCAGAGAAGGTAAACTGTCAGGAATATAAGTTAATACCAATGCAGCAGTACTTAGGAAGATTCAACTGGAAAAAGGCTTCTTAAAAACAAAGTGAATGGACTGTTATAGAAATGCACAGCTAAATGTCACATGGCAAACTTCCGTTGTGTGTGTGTCTAATTCCTCCACAATAAAGTTAAAAAAAAAAGTTTACAAGGTAGCACAAATAACGCATTTGAACACTCCTTTAGGATTGGATTACATCCCGAGAGTAAGACAGCCAAGCCTCCACAAATGTCAGGGTTACTAAAAGTCTCTTTGAAAGTGGTAAACGCCATTGTCCTTCAGGGTAAAAACACAAGCAAATATGCAACTACTTAGGGAAGTCGTCAAATCTTACCTACACGGTAACTGACACTGTCAGAAATACCTTGGACTTTCAATGGAAGGGGAGTGGGGTGGGGCGGATCTCCGGAGATCAATAAAACTCACAGAAACATTCACCGTTTGTCTCCTTTTCAACTTCTTTGGGTCAATCTGTGCTACCACAACATCTGGACACTGGGCTGCTTCGAGTCTACAAATAAATAATAAATTCAAGAAATGGAACTTACAATACATCCAAGAATTACGATCAGGCTTTGTTCATGTGTATTAAGGGAAGCAATCTATTTCTAGGGGTCCTTATGAAACCAGAAGACAATTTCAGAACTGCAAACTGTGGACCGTAACGTTTTTGAAACCATCTGAATTAAAAAGAAGGACGGTCAGGTGTAGATGGCAGGTAATGCGGGGACCTCGATCAGGCCTGAGCTCCCGGGTGAGAGGAGAGGAACACTAGCCGGGTTTTCTCACCCACTGGGTGAAGTCGGGGAGAGGACCTCACGCTGTGCCCAGATGCAGGGCGGACAACCAGCCCACCCGCACGGGGTCAGATCACTCACTGGACGCGCCTCAGGTACTCCTGAGGCGTTTTCGGGGGCACGGAAGGATCAAAGCCTTCAGTCACGTCGCAGGGCTCCACGGGCAAAAGGCGGGGCATCAGCTCTTCAACCACAGACTCCATCGGTACCCACGCCATGTCTTCCAGGCCAGCCGCGGCCAGCTCGCGCCTGCGCCTGCGCCTGGGCCAGGCCACCGCGCAGGCGCACGAGCCTCCGCTTTTGGCGGGAAGCCGAAAGAGGTATGGGCTTCAGAAGGCGTCTCTGCGCATGTGCAAGCCGAGCGCTTGCGCCTGAATGAAACCTTGGCTGCTCTTTGCGCACGTTCTGTAAGCTTGCTTTCTTGCAGGGGCGTTTCTAAAGCGTTTCTGGATATGGTACATTTTTTTTCTCTTTCTTTTAAGGATTGGGTTATTACCCTGTCTGCATTCCTAGTAGTGCGGGCTTCTTAAATATTTCTTGGATTAATGAATGGTAATATTTTTCCCAACCGAACGAAACTCACTGCCATCTTGCTGACTCAAAGCGACCCCGTGTGGGTTCCCGAGACTGTAACTTTACGGGATTAAAAAGCCCGGTCTTTCAGTTACTATTTATTTGGTTCTAAATTCTTGTAAGGTTTAGTAAACAAGTTACATACGTAGCCTCATGCGATACTTAACTATCACCCTGTGAAGTTTTGTAGGTGAATCCACTTAAGAGGGGTTAAGTCCTACACCTGTGACTCTTCCCCAAAGGAGAATTGTTGATTCTAACTCAGATTTATCCGACGCTAAATGAGTAAAAAGTTAATTTCCAGAGGAATGTGTGTTTGATTACCTTAAAGATAATTTTGTATATATCTGACATGTATATTACTACTAAGGTGGTCATACCCCCCCACCCTTTTTTTTAAATTAAGAAAATCACTTTGCTTAAATACAGATCATTTAAAGGAAACAAGCTATGGTAATGTCAACACCCAGAAATTATCAGTACCAAAGTTAGGTAAACCTTGTTAAGTAGATATTTTGCAGATATGGAACCAAACCAGCAATGCATTAAGTTACTTGTCTAACTAGGCTGGTGAATTTCAAGTAACAATGGCAGCATTGTTAGCTCTAGTTCTTTTTAAACAAGCTTTGCGTGAATACAATTCACCTTTATTTTCCAAGGTTGTTTATTTTTAAGGCGTTTTAAACCAGCAGTACCTTAGTTTGCCAGCAACTGAGTTCAAAACCAGGGTGTAATTTTTTTAAGGGACAGTCCTGATGTTAAGAGCTGAGGAATTAGTGAATACGAGCAGTACGTAGACAGTTGGGAGACTTGGAAAGACACTGCGTCTAGTTAAACTAGAAAGTTATTTGGTTAATTTTTCTACCCACGCTTTTGAGAGAAACATAAAATTACAATGAAGAAGTACAGAGAATTATTTTTTCTCCCTCAACATTTTGAAAAAGTAAGCAGTAACTAATTTCTGGATTATGTAGTCTTAGTACTTTTTTCTTTTTTCCCCATCCTTTGAGTAAATTATTAGCAATTGCTCTTTGTTTTTCTCAAGAAAAGAAAAAAAAAAGGTGACCTAACCAAGAAGTCACCAAAGGAACAGTGCTCGGCACTGAACTCCATGCAGCAAGTACGTGGCAGAACGACATATGGATCAAGGAAGAAAGAGGAGCAGCAGAATGGAACAAAAGTCCTGTTTTCCGCAGGAAGAGGTGAGTTATTACTGCATAAAAAATATCGTGAAAATTTTTTGAAATTCTGATTACACAGTAAATTTTGAAATTCTGATTACACAGTTCATTCAGGAGACCAGAAAGTAAATTGAACTAAAAGTTATAGGGGTTGCTTTCTGCTAGCTCAAATCTAATCTGACTTGAAATAATCATTAATAAGATTTGGAACAGGCTTTTAAATATAATCATAAATTGGAAATTACTCTTAAGTATTTTTTATTGTTTCACTGAGATATGGGACAGCTGAGAATAAGCTATGTGTACATCTATCTGGTTGATTACTCTGGGAAATATGTTTAATTTTGGGAAAGCTGAACTTGTAAAATTATAAGAACCATTTCATCTAACCTCTTTCCAAGAACTATTCCTAAGATACAGGGCCACTTCTTGGGCCCATTTTCAAAGATTTCCAATCAGTTACAGTTTACATAGAAACGTTTTTCAGTATTTTCTCACATTTCAGTATTTTCTCACATTGGAAGTTGGCTGTAGGAGTCACAGGAAAGGACAGCTGTTTTTGGTCATGGTAGCATCTCTTAAGTCATGCTTACAGAAGTAACTGGAAAGGTTGTTCCTGTATTTTCTAGCCCCTTAATCAACTGTATTATTCTCAAATGTTTGTGTGTCTGAGTCATCTGGAAGCATTTGTTTAAAATCCTCCAGCGCTTCTGTTTCTATTGCTTTAGTGTGGAGCTAACAAATTTACGGTTTCAGAAACATTTACTATGGTATGGTATGGCTGTACCAGGAGAGCTTCCAATAACAATGCTCGTAAAAATTCAACCTTACTACCATGGATTCCTAATCATAGCGAACCTAAAGGACAAAGTAGGGCTGCCCTGGCATTTCCCAGGCTGTATATCCTGATGGGAGTTGAAAGCCTCATTCTCGTGAAGAGTGGCTGGTGATTTGAAACTATGGACCTTGTTGTTAGCAGCTCAAGGAGTAATCTACTGTACCCCAGGGCTCCCTGATCTCCCTTAAAAAAACCAGACCAATGTCTTGTTGGTAGGGATATTACCAGGCTAAGTGTTTTCCATAAATTATACATGTACTCTTCACACTACCCTGCCCCTTCGGTGTGCCAGAGTAAAATGGCTGCATCCTAGAGTTTTCAAGGACCAATGATTTTTCTGGCACAAATTGCCTGGCTTTTCTTCTAACCATCAGAGGTACTTCAAGGTGGACTTGAACCACCACCCTTTCAGTGAGCAGCCTAGTTCATTAGCTGTTCGCACCTCCCAAAGACTCTTGCTCTTCAAGAGAGATAGCATCAAGCCCAAAACAAAACAAAAAAACCCCAAAATTAAAAAAATCAAAGAAGGTAGAAAAATTACTCTGAGTCTTTGTGCCCCAGTGGTAATACATTAGAGAGGGGTAATGAGGCTAGAGGGAGGGAGGTTCATTTTGCTTCCTAGTCCGAGTCCAGGCCCTCCAGGCAGCACCAGTCTTTTCACCACTCTGCTGAAACACGGTCCACAAAAATGTTAGAAAATCAACACAAGGTCCAGCTTAATTATGGAAAACAAAAAATACTTTGCTCATTCAAAGTGAAAATGCAAATCTATCTCTTCCCATTTAAAATGACATTTTCCCTTCTGGCTTTTCATAATTCTTTTGTTCTTTACGGGAGCTCTGTTGGCTAGGAATTGGGCAAGGTCAGCAGTCCCAACCCACCAGCTGCTCCTCAGGGAAAAAAAAGATGAGGCTTTGTTAGGTTGAGTTGTTTAGAGAAAAAAAATTAGAGACTCATTTATGTACAAGAAAGGATTTTATATCAAGAAGTAATTCCATGTAAAGAAGGCATCCCAATCCAGTACAACTCATGTCCCTAAGTCCCATGCTAGCTGGGGCCCTCTTCAGAGTCACAGAGCAGCAAGCTGATGATGGAGAAAGGTGAAGTGGGAAGCAGGGAGACCATAGGCAGTGGGTGCAGACTCCTATGGATCCAAGGTGGTGGGAAAATGGCAGAGCAGTGACAGCTCTCAGGGTGGGGCAGCCCATATGAAGCATTTCCCTGGAGGCAGGAGAGAGAGAAAGAGAGAGAGATTGATTTCTAGTTTTTCCTTTATAAAAAGGCCACACTGCCAAGGAGGCATCATCAGACTGAGACCTGATCAACAGGTTGGATTCCACCCTCACATGTTCACACAGGGTCAAGTTGACATAAACGCCATCTGCCACAAGGCTTTCTGCTGCTACCTTCAAGATGTACAGCCTCAGAAAGCTGCAGAGGCAGTTCTACTCTGTCCAATAGGCTCCCTATGAGTCAAAATCGACGCCATGGCAGTTAAATTTTTAAAAAAATTTTATGAGACCGAACCTAGTAGGTTTTATGTTCTTTACAAGGAGATCTGGTGGCGCCAATTGTAAGTTAATTTTAAGGTTTTTGGTTTAAACCCACCAGCTGCTACATGAGAGACAGATGAAACTCAGCTCTGGTGAAGATTTACAATCTTGTAAACTCTATGGAGGGTCCGATGAGTTGGACTCAACTCAGTGACAGTGAGTTTTGCATATGCTCTATATTTGAAATTAGATAACTATGTTTGTTTGGGCCACTGTAAATAGCTTAAGAGCACATCAAAGGATTTCATGTATATCATTTTATGATAGGATTACATAATTCTGAGATTGACAAGTGTGGTACAATGAAGAGGTGTTAGAGTAAAACTTTGGGGCTTGCTGTAGAATAGAAACAATTTCTATTTGAACAAGAGCAAGAAATTTTAATGTTTAGTCATTAGCATTTAAAGGGGGAAAGAGGCATGAAAGAAAACTCAATAGCATATAAGCCATAAATGAGCTGAGTTTATCACTTGACTTCTCTTGACTTCCATTCATTTTCACGTACAGAAATTAGACTAAATGATCACTAAGATCTATTTTCTTTGAATTGGAACCGACTTGATGCCACCTAACAATAATAGCAGCAAGGTCTGTTTAACTATAGTCTAATGCGTAAAAATTATTAATTAGCCTTTGCTAGACAGATATCCTATGCATATGGGCTTGTGATGCTGTAAAATTCACTATTAGAAGAGTTTGAATGTTGCTTTGTCTAGTGAATGCTTCAAAATTTGACCACTGCATTGTAATGTCCCCATATGAACAAACAGAAAAGAGTCCATGTTAGAAAACACTGGAAACAGAGTAAACCAAAAGGAACGGGTAAAAGCTCCATCTGGTGGTGATAATAGAAAATTCCAAGAAATCTACATGATCACAATTTACAGTATTAGGCTTGTCTTAGCATTTCCAGTTTAGAGACATCTATGGGATGGAAATAGGGAGAAAAACACTGGCTGTTATATATTTGCTACTTAAGATAATTAATGATATTTTGAATTTTTGCCTGCAGATTATCCCTGGACAAAAACGCATGTCAAAAATCCTGGGAAATGTACTTAAGACCCACGCTTGGGCATTCACAATTTTGACTAGTCGAGAAA